AAGTTGTTCAACTTAATATCTTAAAGACACCATTTTTCAGTAAAGCAAGATCCTGAGTCCTCCTTGCTGGAGTAACAGCTGTTTATAGATAATGACACTTACTACAAACCTAATTATGTTATATATATCACCTCTGGCTACACCCACAGTAAATTGTAATTGTAGTTTAAATAAAGTCATTTGGCTGTGCCCACTCAAGGTCACAGACAGATGTACACTGATATTGTATCATGATCAATTACGAAGAGTCCGTCTGCTGGTTCAGAGAAGTGTGCACTGACAGAAACATTCCGATTCTTACGTTCACAAAACGGAGCAAAGTGGAAGAGGGTGGAGTGGGTGGCGGACAAGCCACGGTTAATCCAGAGCAGTTCTCTTTGGTGCACTGTGTGAAGCAATTAATCACACGGTGTAAGTGGTGAGAGTGTGTGAAGTAAGCTGAGCCAGCCAGCCAGCAAAGGGCCCAAAACACCATCTTTTATAATTTCCGTTCAGCACCCATTTATTTATTTATTTCCCCCCTTTTGATTGGTCTCAGTGCGCACACAGATCCACTTACTACCTCAGCAGTTGCGACCTTGCTGAGGTTATAAGTGGATCGCTCAACTCTTGACTCAAAGCCAGTTGTTGTATAACAGCGGATAAACTGCTTCTACAATAAATTATATTTGATTTAAACACACACACACACAAACACACAAGCAGACAGCTGGGCACTGAGGCGACTCATGGTCCAGTCAGCATCAGTCAGCATCATCTGTGCTTGTACAATCACTTGGTACACACACGCACACACACACACACACACGTGCGCGTGCACACACACACGCACATACAGCGCTAGGTTCTTGCTGTATGGTCAAGATATATTTAGGATAGTGACTGTTTGACATTGACTTGTACTCACCTGCGCACAACCCTGGAATCAGACTCACGCATGCACACATATGCATGTGCGCGCGCACAGACACACACACACACACACACACACAGACACACACGAAAAGGAATACATGCTTTCAAGCATATAACAATTGAAATTCAAACAGTGATTGCCGATGTCTACTGCACTCTGCCAAGGGAGTGTCACAGAGTCACACACACACACACACACACACACACACTCTCACGCACATAAACACACATAATATCATCATTCAGGAGGCAACTAGCCTGTCCCGAGCTTTAACCTGTCCTTGTCTCTTCTGTTCGGAGTCAGCAGGATTGTCCACGCACGCACACACACACACACACACACACACACACTTGTGTACATACTTAAACACAGGTATCTGCTGCCAGTATTGAAATTCATATTTTATTTATTCTATTAATATATGACATTTGAAGTGGTTTGCTGACTTTGAGTCAGTATTAATTACCATGAGTGAGCAGTCATGTTCTGACTCCGTCTCGCTTAAAAGATGCTGTTGCAATAAATCCAGCTCCTCCCCTTCACATCCTTTATGCTGTTCTCTCTCTATCCCTGTTTTTTGTCATCACCAACATCTAGCCACTTTAACAAGCTAGCCACAGCCGGAGTTGGGGATGTGTTAACTCATAATTTTATTCTGGTGGCAGAAGGTCCAGTGACGTAACACGGGCTTAGAGTACCATCACAGGGAAATGATAAAATGCTTTTTCACCTTGTTTATTGTTTTCCGTCCATTAAAGAACCATACTCTAGGACTGAATGCTGCAAATCTAATTTTAGTTTCAACATTGTGCTGTATTTGAAAAAAATACTGCGTTGTCTCTCTTGTTAGTTGGTGTTTTTTGTATTTCTCGAAATCATCTCTGCTCAGATTTAGAACCCCATTCCTGAACTTTATGTATATGTATTATATTTAGCATCACACATATATTTTCTATATGTGGTGCCTGAAGTTTGGGAGGTATAACTCAGCAAAGTCGCAGTCAATTAACAGCTATACCTAACTAACCTGTCCTTGTCCTTACTGTGTGTGTGTGTGTGTGTGTGTGTGTGTGTGCGCAGGCAAGCAAGAGAGAGAGAGAGAGACTAATTAAAACTGCTGAGTCACAATCACTTAAGCTCTCAAAAGCATGAATAATATTGGAAGCAAACTGTGGCTGGGCAAAAAGTATATCTCGTTTTGCCCACAATTCATTTGCACGCCTTCATTTGCACACTGTGCACGGCAGCAGACTCAGCTGAACATAATGATATAGAAACTGTTTTCGTTCAGGTGTAAGTTCCACTCTAATTGAATTGGGAGACCGAGTCATTCCCTTCCTGTCATTAGTCACAACTTTACCTTTAGATTCTTTGACTTCAAGTGGAAGGAGGTACGGCTGGACATTTAGATGAATACATATTGAAAGGGTGAAAACTGCGTTTAGAAAATCGCCGATGTCTTCACCCACTCTTGCCGTACGGTAACAGATATCAAAAAGCTCAAAAGCTCAGTTTAAACCAGTAAAGTTCAAAGTGTGATGACCGGTTTAGAGTTTGCGTGAAGGCCGAAGTTTGATGAAGTTG